CGTTCCGACGGCGGTAGCGGACATTCCCGACTATTTCCAAGATGGCCGCCACCTTGTGCCGACTAGCTATTTTAGTACTTTTCTGTCGCGCTGTGGAATATTTAGGCTGATCTAAACATCGGCAACCCGGCCAATTGTGGAGTTATATTGTAGGGAAGCCCGGGACAGCAAAAAAACCGGGTCAAAAACGGAGCATCGGGCAGCCAACGGGAAATGTGCAGTTCTGCCAATGGATCTTTCCACGACTCTTGTCTGAGGGTAATGCAATGTAAGCCCGAATCAAGAGTCGCCACGGCTAGCTTTGTGGATCTTGTCTTAAGAGGGTTTGCTATGTCCTGTTCTGACTACACGCTATCTAGCGGTTTCATGCTTGCTATTGGTTGTCTTAGGCGCTAGGATGTCAGGAAACCGATAGCAATCAGATAGCAAACCTGATATACATGTTCTGTCATACAACACATAATCCGCATAAAAAGAGTCTATCCACAAAGGTTGCTATTGCGACTATATTTTCTATATACAAGTATACTATATACCGAAGATTTGTTGTGATACAGATGCCCAGTAACAATGAATTTGAGGTTAAGGAACGAACACAAGCGGCAAGAATTCAACTTTTAATAACGTTGTTTAATTGTGCTTGGCCCCACACCATGCCATATAGAAATAATCTTTTATGTTGCTTGATGTAAAATGAGGATAATTTCTACCATTCTTTCTCCAAGTCGCCAGTCGTGAGCTCATGTTTTTGATATATATACATCTACATCTACAGCGCTTTCCATATTAACATTTCTGCTCTGCTAACATTAACAGATGGTAGAATTTGTTTAAACAACGATTTCTGACGTAATATAAGTTTTGATCAAATATCGTTCCCGTCATACAGTGCTGCGATCACGTGGCAATTTATTTTCCTGACCGGAAGTCACCTACTGTCGTCACGGTTTCCAGGCGGAAGTTACGTCAACAGCAAAGTCATCATGTACGTGCCATGACCATAAACTACAACTAACTGTCTTGAATGTCGTATATTGCAACAACTATAGATACAGCTGTACTTACTTGTAAACGGAGGTACATGTACATGTATTGTTTTGGAACAGTTGCCATCTTTCTTAATCTCCCGTCCTTAGCAAACCATGGAGGTAGGAGAGACTTCTACAGTCTAACTCCACGAGCAAACTTATTCCTTGGTTTCCCATGCCAAAATATTTTTTATTACAAAGAATTCACATGACTTTATAGTGAAAGAAACATACACTTGAGCTAACAAATACTAACTTGTAGTTGGGACAACTCAATGTTAAGAAGAAATTTCACAAAAATTAACTAGTAAATATTTCCCCTTTTTCAAAATTCCAAAGGCCGCTGATGATGCTGACACAAAAAGTGACGGATCTAGCCATGATACAACATGACGGTTACAAGACATCTGGGGGTCATGACTCGTGGAAAAGACAAGTGCAAGGTAAAGACGTTTTGTAGAAAGTTTGTCTTATGCACCTGACGACTAGATAGAATCGTTTATACAGAACGATTATGGTACACCTTAGTATGAAGTATGTTTCGTCGTGTGTATAGATCGTTAATAGATATCTATTTATAGTATTGCGATATCCATAAGAGAGTTCATTCTTAAGGAACGTTTTTGATGAAATTTTACAAAATGATGTTTCACCAAAATTTTTGCTGTATCCATTGGCTAGCTCTTCTTAGTTTCTAGAAGTCTATACCTACCACCGTCCTGATTCAAAGATTTATGTATCATACAAACCTAGATGATTCAAAATATATCCATAGTTTTATCTCATTCCATGACTTATTCCCATTGACAGTCCCGTCGCATCCCTGGTGGCGGCTGATGGCCCAGCTCGGGTATATGTTCAGCGCCCCGGGACTGCTGACAGGGCCGCTGTACCGCTTCACGGAGTACGGTGGTCTTCCGCGGAAATCGGCACCTAAGGTATCGACGTTACTGAGAAGTAAAGTCATTGACCGGTGACACATGTAAATTTGATGTGTATTACCACTATATTGGATTTGATTTGGTCTGTAAAATTAGGAACTGAGCAGTCTTTTGAGACTGACTGACAGTATAGCATTACCACTAATGTGTTGGGTGTATTGTTCAGACACATGGTACTATCATTACATGGTACTGATTCATCTCGATCCCTCCTCTAGACACTGGTGCTGTATAAGATGATGATTGCAGCAGTGTTCTTCAGTATCCACGGCTTTGCTGGGTCCGTCTTTCCTTTACACAAAAATGGAGGTAAATCTCGTGTGCCCCATCATGTAATACTTTTGCCTCTTTGCCTTAGCCGTAAGTAACGTTTGTTATCTAGTCTTGCATTATCAGTGGCACACTCGTTGAGACTTTAGCTTATTTTGTGCGGGTTTTTAGCATTTATATCGGACTTTCCTTTCTTGTACTGGCGTCTTTGATACTACCCTGACAATTATACTGCCCTGCCAATTTGATACTGTCTTGCAGGGTCTTTGCAGTTATTGAGGAGCAGAGCTCTACAGCAAAGTGATCAGGGGAAATTGTTTCCTTAAGGCTAGATTCAGATTCAGATTTTATTACCAATGACATAGCAGGTACAATATAAAATCAACACCTGAATTGCGTCATTGCTTACAGATCCGCCTTTAAAATCCAGGTATAAAATTCATAATACATGCTAAAATACAATTCTAAAAGTCATATCAAGAATAAGATAAAAAGGGATATCAGGTAACCTATTTACAAAGTGTTTCTGGTGAGAGCAACAGGCACGTACATGTATGAGCGTGCGTTACAGGTCAGCTAACACAAACTCAGTGCTAGTATTAAAAGTACGAGCAGTTTTAACAATGTGATGTACGCTAGAAGGGAGTTGATCAGACAATGATGACTGTACGTAGTGTAGATATGCCAAATGCAGTGTGACAGTTCTTACCGTACATGGTCGGTGCATTAACAGACTTGGTCGTCACTGCAGATCTTGGTTTTGTGGAGGACACGCCGTTTTTGCAGAGGATCCTTTACTTGTGGATCTCGTCGTTTCTCGCGAGACTGAACTACTACTGGCTCTGGTCACTCAGTAAGTACACACTGTGCAACACTATCATCATTTTTCTCATGCGCAGCCCTCTAGCGGGACAGTGTAAAAGAATTTTTGTTTGTTTGCTCCTCCTCAAAAAAAAAAAATACATAACACCGTCGCTCCAAGAAGTCTGAGAAGGAGGCTAATCATCATCGATATAACTCTCTGCATATTCTATGCTCAATTGTTTGAGGCATGGAAACTCGTAAGCTTGATAATTTCTTTTGTTCAGGTGAGGGGCTGTGTAACGCTGCCGGCCTGGGGTTCTGCAGACAGGACGCTAGGGGGCGCTGGGATGCCCTTTCAGACTATTCTTTCTTCACATTGGAGGTACTCTTTTTGGCGACGCCCCAGGAGCGAAGCCTGCTTTATCGCATTTGCTAAGTTAAAAAAGAACCGCCTTGGTATCAAACTGCTGAACATCTCTTAATTTTGTGAGACTCCCCGAATACTTGTATTTTTGTTCTTGACGATCTTTGTATTGGTCCTGGGCTTTCAGAACATTCTCTGTAGGTTCGATATTGTTCCTTCATAAACTACAATGCAATGTGTTTCACACCTTGTCAATGTAACGTGATTTTTCAGTTGTCAACGAATATGGCTAATTTCACCCGGAACTGGAACAAAACCACTTCCGCTTGGCTGAAAAGGTACGAATTTCTCTTCATAGGCTATTGACAGTTCTTGAACATCTTGTCTTTTCACTCGACATCGTGTGCACTACCACGTCGCTATCAAGATAAAAGTTGATAGAATGTGACATGTGTGAATTCCAACAGGTTGGTGTACTACCGTTTTTCACACATGCGCACTGTGCTGACTTTCCTGGTGTCGGCCTTGTGGCACGGGCCACATCCGGGCATCTTCATCGGCTTCAGCGTATGGACTGCAGTTGTCATTGCAGACAGAAAGGTGGCGCTCTTTCGCTGTGAGAGATTTTAAGTAAAAAAATCCTAATTACAATTCTACTCCTCTACTTTTTATGATTTTATGGTTGTCATTCTACTAGTATTTTGAACTGAAGAAATCTGAATATTATTACTCTCGTTCGCAGGTGGCTAAGCTTGCTGTGCATGAACGCCTTCCATCCGCAGCGTGGCGCTTCTTGCACATGTGCATGTCATGGCTGACTACACAGTTGGCCGTCGGCTTCATCTTAACTACAATCCATCTCCAGAGCATGGGGCCCATTCTCGTTTTCTGGAGGTAACGAGGAATCAGTCATTAAATATTCTTTCAATTTTTTTTCGTGGAAAATATGTTGCCTCCACCAGGCCTTCCTACGAGGGGGTAGGGAGGGTATGCGGATAGTAGAATTTGGCAAAAAAACGGAACAATCCAGGAGAGTAAGTCCGATAGCTAGAAGTTTTCCCTCTCCGGAGGCAAATGAATTCTACGGTGGTCAAACTCCCCACGGTCAATTTTTCTCCCTTTTTTTTACTGTCTTTGAACCCACGTTGTCAGTCTGGTGGAGAATAGGAAATATGTAGGAGATCCCGATACTGAGCTGTTGTGATTTTGTTACAGCTCCATGTACTACACTCTGCCGCTAGGGGCGCTGCTGTGCCTTCTGCTGCCTGTGTGACTCCCGGCCGAGCAGCATCAAGTCTCTACAACAAAGCACACCGGCCATCCCTTGGTCATTTACTGTCATTTAATCAAATCTTTATTAAATATCAACATTGCAGACGTGCCGAAGTGCTTCGGGCACGTCTACGTCTGAATTGCATTGACATTTTACAATTGTACAACATACAAACATTTACTGTATGTCAAAGGGGAAAGGAAGAGGAGGCTACAACAAATGACTTGGGAAAATGTGGGACTTTAGAGAGTTGGGTTACGACTTGGAGGGAGTGAAGACGCAGGCACAAAAAGAAGGAAATAGAATAGAGTACCTGTGACAGTGTTGACTCTATATCAAGTTATTGTGCGATTTATATCATATTACGGTACATTTGGAGGGCGGCGCAAGTTCCCCTTATAACTCCATGGTTAACGTAAACGACTCTGAATACATGGGCTTAGTCTTAGATGAATTTGGAAGAAACCAAAAACTGAAGTAGATATAATCAACCTCGCCCTTGCTTTTACATATATATATAGGCCCTTTGGTTCTCATACACAATGTGCATGAAAATAGTTACCACCAACAATTGTCCCTGTAATGCATTCTATGGAGCTGAGAAAAACAAGACCAGTCTTGAAGGAGTCACGGTGAGACCTGTCGGATTTATATGCCATGACAATTGCAACTGACAGATACAGCAGGTGGACACATGCACGGACAAATTTGTCTTTACGTGCAGGTCGAGGACAGTGGCCCTTAATCAATTTGGCAAAGGGAAAAGTGAGCTAAACTCTAGTCTTTTACAAAAGAGGTACACAAAGTAGCTTTGAGAAACTCAGAAAGTTTGTAACTGCTTTCCAAATGGAACAAAAGTTTGCTTGGTTATGTTCCAGCACTTCAAGCATTCGTGTTTTGACAAATTCTATCGGCTCCCATTGAAAATGTTCAACATGCCAACTCACATTTGTTAGTCAGTGACCTCTACCCTTGGTTGAACCCTCGGCCTCCCTCAGCTACTAATTAAGCCGTTACCCGAGGGCATGATGGGTAATGATGACGTATGAAGCGGTGTTCTATTGTTTCAGTGACAGATCTCGCCATGTGTCTGTTTTATGTCATTTCTTATTACTTAAGTGCTGTAGTCTGTCATTATTCCTGTTGTCGACACTACGCGGTTGGATGAGTTTTGCAATTGTGTAACGTTACATGTGCCACATTTCCATAACGATTTTGGTACATTTTCTAATGAGCAATGCTTTCAAATTCTTAAATTTAAAGGGATTAAATATTGGAAGGGATTTGCATATGAAGAAAATTTCTCAAGGAAATGGTAGCATATTATAATACCAAGGTCCTTGCAAATTCCGATGTCCGCCCAAACCAAGGTACGCCTCGTCATGGTCCCGTGTTGTGCAGCGTGAACACAGTCCCCCTGTAAGTATCGACTTGTCACCAGAAACGTCCACGGTACACATTTTTATCAATTTTACGAAACATTCCATTTTACGTTCAATTTACAATGTCTGTTGGATAAGGGCCTTACCGTGGACAAGTGCTATAGTTTCTGTGCTTAGTTCTACCAAGGAGAGCCCTTGATTCTACTTGATGATATTCTTTCTTGCTTTTTCCAGTATTTGGTATGGAACTGCAATACATCAGAATTGATAAGAATGTCTATTTTTCAGCAAACCTTGGAAGAATATTGATATTATCGCTACAAATCTGTTTAGTTCAAATTTGGGACTTTCTAACATGGACCATAGTATTTCTTATACGTCGTTTTGTGTTTTGTATGTTTCAGTGTTACCCTGGACCGGAGAATCTTGTTCATGTTGTTTGAAGTTGTCAGCAGTCGCTTCGTGTACCTTTTGTTGTGTCTCCACCACTTCGGTGGGGTCACCGGGGGGTCACCTCACTAATTGGATCGGCCGATGAGTGATCGATACACGGTTGACCGATAACTCAATTCCTGCATCGCCTGTTCTATGATATGATCACATTATTGGCTAATCGTATCAGCTATATGGCCGATTATTTAATATAGACCACCACTGTGATATAATAGAATCATCGATATTTCTTGTTTTATCCTCTTTAAATCCTGCCCCTGCAATGCGAAGTCTGACACCAGGCGTCGCTTTTGCACAAGTGCAATGCCTCCTGCAGGCTGTCGTTGGGCTGACGCATCGTCATTTATAAAATCTGCCAAAAACAACGTCGTGCCGACCTACTGTGGCCCGCCTGAGCTTGTATTCATGTATAAGTCATGAGCATAATTGATTTACACTGAGAGCAACGACACCAGCAATTATAGCCATTAAACTCCCGCCCTCCGGGGATTCGGGCCGTTTTATCCATTAGGCGTTCGCCCTCCGGGAATTCCCGTCATTTCCCTGCCAAATGTACAAATTAAATCAAGCTATAATTGGGAGAAGTAGTACAGCGTGTGCCCTGCGACAGCTATCTCAAAGGAGGACCACAGAGCATGACAGAAATTGGTTGTTGTACGTCGGCTTTTTGGAAAACTTAGCGGCAGGGCAAAAAAGTCACAACTATCCAAGGGACATCTGTACTATTGCATCTACCTTGTTATTGGAATATATCACCCATACTATTGCTGTAATATGAACACAGTCCAATACAGAACAATGAATACAATGACCATAACCCCATCTCTATTGCAGTTTTAAAGATTTAATCATCATTAGCCAATCGACTGCCTCGACAGTCCCACCTTTAATCAATTTACATGGAGTTCCAGCGCCCCATATGCCGGGAACCATGCAAACATATACACACACATACTGACAATAAATATCACATTATGTACAAACATATACACCAAGCACGGATATACAAACGTCGTATACGGGTCCTGTGTAGTGGTGTTGCGATGTGTGAATGGGAGCTACACCGTGAGGGGTCCAACAATACTGGTGGGTATCTGGTCAAGCTTTCTCTTGTTAATCGTCCTCCGAATTCAGGTTGAGTGGCATTGTATTGATCTGATGGAGTGATAGCATCAAATTCCATGATTATGATTGGTACATGTCTTCAAGTCTTGCTTTTAAGCGGCTGCAATGGTCAACGTAAGGCGCTCTACTCGACAGAGTAAAACTAAAAGATGCAAGTTTCTACAACTACGCTGCTTCAAATGTTTCATAAAAATGACTCGCAAAATACCACAGCTTTGGTCAAAGTTATTGGCAAAATACAATCGTGGCTGATCTTGCTCATATGCACCCAGTGTAAAAGACAGGTAGCGAACAATACTTTAACGTATCGCATCTTGCTAAAAGGGACAGCATGGACCATGGCTAGCCATGAAATATATATTTGCACGATGGACTGTGTTCTCAAGGTTGCATGGTTGGGCCACAATAAAAATATTACACGATGACTCTATGTCAGCAAGACAGATATGGTCGCATCAATCGCTTTGTGTGTGTAAATGGCTTGGGTGAGAGAAGTGAAACGCGTTGTCAAGTCTCAAAGAGGGCACCTCATACAAAATATGCCATCTTTCTTGTCGCTTTGCTATAATGACATGTAGACATTCGACGGAGATGTACATGTAAATATCACGGATCGATCACGCGAACGTACGGATCTATCACGTGATCTATCAAGTTCTCATGCCTCCATCATGCTCAAGCCATGAAACCAGCTTCAAGTGGTACAGTTGTCCTTCACGTGATCATCACGTGGCAACAACTCGAATGCAGCTCTGTGCAAGACTTTCAATATTGCCACATTACAATGCGTCGCACATTGAATGGAATTCATTTGTTTCCTACCAAAGACTGGTAGGTGTTCAACCTCAGAACGAAGAGAAAGACTCATCTTCTGGATTTTGCACCGAAATAGAAACGTGTTACCAAAAGCAACACAATTATATTTTTTTGGCGCTTGCGATCTTCCAAAAACGCGTGTAATGCTGCTTTCATGTGACAAACAGTTTTGGGAAAGCTCGCTCATACGAGCAAAAAGTCTTAGCATTTGTATTTACTGCTCGGGACTTGCTAGTATTTATCACTTGCATCAAGTAACAAGTAAAGATGTAACACCTTCCATTCAAAGTTCTAAAACGGTGAGTTTTCCTGAGATGAAGTATGATGTGCAGGTTGACCTTTGCCCTTGTTTACAACCCGAGCGCCTCGGCATGTTTACGTGCCTTCAGCCTCAGGTCCGCGATGCTGTTGTTCTTGCTATTCTTGGTGACCTCCAGTGACCCCGCGGCCAGGGAACCAGCCATGGACGTGATGGGGAGCGCGTACGGCGCAGGCGCGTAGAGCATCATGCTTGGGTGTGGCGCATGCGCAGCAGCATCGAACTGGAGGTGTGCCTGGACTCTCTCGAAGGGCATGCGCACTGTGCCCATGTTCATGTAGGGTGCGACTCGGCAGGTGTCGAGGTTGGAGCCCATCATCATACCTGAGGGGGCAGAAACACGCGTGGTCAGATTGCCTCGCAACGCTGAACACAACATGTCTCCACCTGGGGCACACAAGAGCGCAAGTCAGACACAGTCAACACGGCAAAGTATTATCTTGAAAGTTCATTTGTGTTGGTAGAAGTCATCACGAACAAGATTGAACTTCAATTGCCAACACCAAAAACTGGATTCACCCAAATTTTTTTACTGTAATTTTTCGAAACCAAATTTTTGGACTGTACAACTCCAGTCTTTGTCAAAGACTGGAGTTGTACAGTATATAAATTTGGGTGAGTCCAATTTTTTGTGTTGGCAATTACAGTTCAATCTTGTTCATAACGGCAAAGAATTAAATGTATCCAATGCAATTTCAGGGTGGCAAAGCTGGTCATTCTTAGAAAAATACAGTAAGTTAGATCAACCCTATCCCATGGTGTACTGATATCTGTGTGGCAAAATGTGATGTCGCTGACGGAAAACTGTTGATTTTTCCATTGTGTTAAATGGTAGTAAAGGTCAATATCAGACGATTTCCTCATACGGAATTTTTTGTTTTGCCATCCTCAAACTGCATTGGATATGCCTTTAAAGTTTGAGGTGCGGGCAAAATGGACAGGAAAAACAACATACGGAAGCGATACGCGTTTTGAGACTCAAGGTCTAGAATAGAGAAAAGTCTAATACGACTTACATACAGCACCTGAAATTAGCCTTACGAAGGGGGTTTAGAAAGTCACATTTTTAGAATTTCCTTCCGATGTTATAAGATTGTGTTATATTGGAAACATGGATTGGTTGGTTGTTGATTCGGATGATGGTAGACCAATGAACGGCATAGGATATAACAAGTTAAATGGATATGGGTTATAGAACCAAGAGCATTTGGGTTCGTTTTTACGTGCAACGTGCATGCCAAAAGTCAGTTATCCACCCAGATTTCGCGTTTTGTAACTGTTATGTACGTGAAATGAAATTTAACCGTGCATGTATTTTTTGGAAAATTTGCGACCTATTTGTGACCAACAATGTCTCATTAATCTGTACTTTATAAAGTTGCTCACCTTTCTGTAACTGGTTCTCTTGTTTTCTACACTTCGCTCGCCGGTTTTGAAACCAGACCTGAAACACAAAACACAGCGCTCAGCACCAAGGACAGGTTGACTCGTAGACATAAAAAGTCTAAAGTCTCACTTGGAAAAATAAGTGGTGAGCATTCGATCTCACTACAGATATGTTTTTGATCATACACTTTGCGCAACTAATGTGCCATATCTGTTATGTTATAGGTTTCAATATCTACAATACCTGCCACTCTTTGTTTCACTGAGTCTAACCACATTACGTCTTTGACTGATGTGCCATCATAATCGTTATAAAACAAATTGATATCGTAAAGCTGGAGGACCTGTAATTAGTGATGATCCCGTAGAAGGAGGGTACTACACAGAACATACTCTCCAAGTGGAGGTTTAGGCTTTGGCTTTTTTGGCGTGTTTTATGCGTTTTTAAGTGGCTCTCTTTTTTTCTACTGGTATCTTTTTAGGCCAGCCAACGGTGCTTCGAGTGGTAAATGGTACCTGTCCGTCTGTTACCATTATTTGCCCATGTGGACACGGTAGTCCAAAGACGTCCCTGTACTTTTTGTGGAGTCAGTAAAGAATCTTTCTATCGTCTTTCCCTTGATCTAATCATTTGACCGTTGGGACACCACAGAAGATCTAACAACTATTTTTCCACCCTTCTTTTAGTGACATTCTCTGATATTCTCCATCTTTTCCGTTCCTTACCCATCTTTCTTGTAAATGCATAACGAACGGTGGCATCTTGCAATTTTTACCCACTGTAGTGGCACCATTAAATCTACTTTGATCGCTGGCGAATTAGAACCGTCGTTTGTCGGGTGACGCTACTCGGGACGTCCCCGCGCTGACACACAGGCCCGGCCCGCGGACGGATTTAATTTGGCAGGAAACGAAATTGCAGCTGATGCGGGATGACGACACGACCCGGTGATTGGAAATGAATCTGCCCTGAAATGTGGAAAATTTCATCTGCGCCGGGACCTGCTGATGGTCCTGACAGAAACGATTCCCGCGCGCGCCGAGCCCGCCAATCCGATTTGTCGCCTTGGGGACGACACAAATTGGACGAGAATAAACGGCGGGAGATGGGCGCAGCGCGGGCTAATTGTGTTGGGGCGAGGAAATACAAATCGAGTTTAGAATATTGGACGGCAGATTTGCTCCGCACAGAATCATTCCCCTAGAATTTCATCGAAAGCTAATCTAATTTCGCCGGCGATTCTGACAAAGGCCCCGCGTACCGTGGACCGACGCGCGGTAACCGTCGCATGTGAGGCAAGTTCTAAATCTTGTCAGCGTGACAACACAATGATGTTGAGACGTCTTGAAATGACAACAGGCCTTCGCCGAGGTAGTTTGATTAAGTTGTGAGTGAATGTCTAGACTGCAGATAGGCGAAATGTACTGGTTTGTGGTCAGGTTTGAGAAGACGTTGAGTATCGTGCTTTCTTTAGTTACGCATTTTTAAAAACCACTGGCTAAATAGCGCCTTTTGCTACTTTGTTGATATTTTCATTATGAGAGAGAAACTAGATAAATGGAATACAACTGCACAAATGAGCGAAAACGTATTACACACGAAGAACACTCAAATGAAATAAATGATCGTTTCGTAGATTTTTACGACCTCATTTAAACGCTTGGAAATCTAGAACTTAAAGTGTTTTCTGCCCTGAAGTATAATATTATGTAGAGGTCAACCCCTAAAAAATAGTCTTCTCGTCAAGACTTCGAAAGCAAGGTGACCCCACTCCGACAGTCCTGTCCTCCCCCGGAACTCCAGCCTAATGGCGCAAAGTGTACTACTTTTCATCATCATTACGATCATGATCATTGCGTCTTATGTCCGGATCTCATCAGCCGACCTAATGCGATCCGGTATGATATCAGTCACCTTGATCAAATCACCGGTCAGAGAGGAGATTCCGCTGACACAGTGCTAACGTATCGTCTCAGAAACGGGTGGGGGTCCCTGAAAATAACCCGAAAACTAGTAGTACGTACTTCAGGTTTAGTCTCCACCAGACTCCTTTGCAGGCTAGATAACTAGTTGAAATCGGCCTAAAAAGGAATGTAACTGGCCAGGGGAGTTAGCCAGACACACTGGACCCTCTATGGTCGGCTATCTGCCCTAGTCAGATATAGTCTGTATAAGCCACCTCGTGTAAAATCAAGGCAACCCCTGTATCTCAGGCTCTTTCTAGTCGCTTCTGAGGCCTGATTGAAGCTACTTAACTGGATCATTTTTACCTGTACTCTACCCTCTGACAGGCCTTTGACAAGGTTAATTTCCTTGTAATTTTACCTGTACTCTTGCCTCTGACAGGCCTTTGACGTGGTTCATTTTCTTGTAATGTTACCTGTACTCTTGCCTCTGACAGGCCTTTGACGTGGTTCATTTTCTTGTAATGTTACCTGTACTCTTGCCTCTGACAGGCCTTTGACATGGTTCATTTTCTTGTAATGTTACCTGTACTCTACCCTCTGACGGGCCTTTGACAGGGATTTAACTGGTTCATTTTCTTGTAATTTTAACTGTACTCTTACCTCTGACGGGCCTTTGACATGGTTCATTTTCTTGTAATTTTACCTGTACTCTTGCCTCTGATAGGCCTTTGACATGGTTCATTTTCTTGTAATGTTACCTGTACTCTACCCTCTGACGGGCCTTTGACAGGGATTTAACTGGTTCATTTTCTTGTAATTTTAACTGTACTCTTGCCTCTGATAGGCCTTTGACATGGTTAGTTTCCTTGTGATTTTACCTGTACTCTTGCCTCTGACAGGCCGAGTCGTTGTGAGAGCTCCTCCCTCATGAAGGCGTCTGGGTAGTGCGTCTCGTCGAACAGGCGCTCCAGCTCCTGAAGCTGCTCCAGGGTGAAGTTGGTTCTGGAGCGCCGCTGCTTCAGCTTCCCGTCCTTCGAGCTGGGCGACTCCAGGTCGTCTTTCTTCTCACCGGGTTTGGACGGGTCTGGAACAAGGCAGGGATTACTGTGATTATACCAGTCCTAAGAACGGTCGGATAGATCTGAAACAATGGCAGAAGTTCTAATTTCGTATCTGTGAATGCACATGTGGTTGTCTTTCTTCTCACTGGGTTTGGACGGGTCTGGAACAAGGCAGGGATTGTCATTTTATATCCGTGGTTAGTCAGTCCTAAGAACGATAGGACGGAGAAGTTCTAATTTCGTATGTGTGACTACACATGTGTGTATCAGTCCTTGAGGTCGTCTTTCTTCTCACCGGGTTTGGACGGGTCTGGAACAAGGCAGAGATTGACGAAAAATGTCCAGCATGACATAGAAAATTATTGATGAACTGGTGGGCGTACCAACTACTAAGTACCTAATACGTACCAGCTCAGAAAGAACAAGAAACAGTCATGTCTTCAACTATCAGAGTTATCATCCAAGAGTTGAGGTGTCCGAAAACCCGTTTTTTTCCAAGAACTATCATAGAGTGGGCATCACTTGAAAGCTTTAAACAACTCCTGCAATTAAATGTGCAAAGATTGTGTGTAACAAGTCGTTCGGTGTGAAATAGCTAGCTGCCGCCGCGCCGCGTGCCTGGTGTGTTACGCCGAAGGGCGGACATACCGGCTATCCTGATACAGATACAGGATATGGTAACTAAAGAGGATATGGATTTAATACCCCTGTCCTTAATATACGACAATACAGTGCTACGGACTACTATTAGTTTAAGGCCGTACAATCAAAACGCATTCCCCTTTTACGGGGACGAAGCTCAGCTTGCCACCTTGTTTCACTTCAGATCCGAAAAAAATCAAGTACCTGTCATTTTTTCATCACCTCCATTTCTTAATTTTACGCAGAGCACACCTGCATTTCGTCACATACACACAGCACTCAGCTTCGTGTTACAAAATTCGCGGTAACGAACTCTCCTGGGAGCAATTTTCTACACAGGTACTGAGTTGATGCCTCTCCCTTTGAAGTGTTGCTTGTTCGTTCACGCCCACACACCTGTGTGTGAGCCACCTTGTGTAAAATCAAAGCCATTCCTGTTCTATAAAATGCCTACTGTGAGACATTAGTCACTACAGCCCTGTGATTTTTGTGCTACCTTGTGTTCTATAAAGGTGAACACTTTATTCACGTCACACTGAGAAACCGGTAGATTTAACTTTACTAGGCCTCTTACTTAGAAATATGTTAGACTTCCGTCGAGTCTCAAGCATATCTTGACCCGAATACAACCTGTATCTATGGGTATCTCAAACATATATTGACCTGTGTACAGCCTGTATTTTTGTATGACTCCCTTAAAGCAATCTGACTTGCGCATGCATACAACCTGTTTCTCAACATACTCAATGTCTTAACCTGTATCTATGCTTCGAGGACTTGTTATTAAGCCTAGTTCCAGTACGACAAGGCTCCACACGTACCAAAGATAGCTCGGTTTATACAATAGGGAAAACAGTGTTGACAAACGACAGCGCGACCTCGCGGTGACACCTGAAGAGACATGTCCCCGCCGCGTCCCCCCGGGCGTCACGCCACCTGGCGGCGTTCTATCTGCCCTGCTCTGTAATCTTCTCATCACCGAGGCAGAAATTATCTCTTTGCCCTGTTCCTGACCCCGGTAAGAGCCGGCGGATCCAGCTTTTTATTCTGTAAGGCTCATTCAACTCTGCAGAGTTCTACATGATCCGAATAGAGATAAGCTCAAAGAACACACGCAGTAATTTAAGATAACAAATCAATCCTCCAAGCGTCATTTTATCACCGCAAATAGCAGCTAGTGTGAAGAATTCTGCTTCTGTGTCTTTTTTACAGGTTATTGTTGACATTATACAAAAGACTGTCCAAAATAGATATAAACAAACGTTCTTTTATGCAATCTTGTCAAACAACAAATCGGCTATGAATATCCTCAATACATTTAGGCACAGATTTGCAATGAAATGGTTGAACGTTTATTTCAATAGTCATTTCCATATATTTTTAGAAACATATCATATACCTAGTCCACTGTTATGTAGGTATACGTGGTGCATTATATCCCACCCATTGTTATTGGCTGTATATGGAAATACCAGACCGTATATCCTTGTATAAACTCGCACGTATTTCTTCATTGTACGTCTACTCAAAATATCTCCAGTCGGTAACATCTGAGACCTCGGACGGTTTAGCCCCATACTGTAGGGACGTCTGCAGACATATTGATTCAATAAAGTCGATTCTACGACTTGGAGAAATATCTTTTGCAGACGGTTCTCAATCTTATAGGATTTTGCGAGCATCGTTTACTATGTAAAGACCAGGCTCGACCTACCTGAGCGATCTGTATTGTTGTAGAATGATGCAATGGAGCATTTCGACTAAAACAAACTGTCCAAAAATCTGTTGGTAACATACAAAAAATGACATAGATTCTAAACGCAAGCAACACTCAATAAGACCTAACAGATGAAATTAAAAAAAGTACATCATTCTATATAACGGTACAGTATATCAACACCACATATGAATACAGTGTAGTTACAAACGCCAATGGTTTTACATTCGCTAAATAATAACAAATAGTAGAGCTCTGAATTGAGGTGCCAATGATGTCACAAACGACTACAAATTTGTACGTTTGCGTCTTTATATTCTTTCATAGATTGACTCCAGTTTTCCCTTGATTAGTATAGTGTTCGCGTCATTCTTGATTATGACAATTTTGGATGACAAGGGCAGCTTTTGCATTTGCTTCTTGTCTTTTCCTCATACGTGTTTGTGTTACACTGGAAGATATGAGCTGTGGGCATTACGGTATTTGCACCAAAAATATACTCTAAGACGTTATGCCACTATGAAAAAACGAGAAGGGGTAAATACGAAAAATACTAGTAGTATCAACAAAATGATCTTATACTCAATATTGTATGTTGTCAGAGTAGCTTACTGACGGGCATCTGTGTTACTTCATTTTGCTGTATGTTACACTATATGGTTATTCAGATGCCATTTTATTGGAATGTGCCTGAACCGATCTTTTATAGAACTGTATATATGTGTGTGTGAACCATTTACTGCATCAATATTGTAACAGAGCGACGTGCCTACATGTTAACATAAAGACGTGGTACCTAACGGTATAAGTGGAGAGCGAATGCCGTCCAAATCACTATGGAATCAGGCACGATGGACAGCATTTTGTACAACTACATTATATAGTGAAAACAAAACAATTTACTCTAACAGGTGTGTAGAATTATTAGAAAAAAAATATCAGAAAACAAACCATATTGAAACCCCAAAATACATAGAAACATTACGTGTTACAAACTGGTGTAAATATGTGATTTTATAGTTACTTGTCAGCCCTGTCTCCTTTATGCTGAATCACATATGTGTGAGCGACATAATAACTTGCAATTCTAAGATTATGAACTATTGGACTGCTGGATTCAAACATACTGCTGGATTCAAACATCTCTATCCACCGTCCCTGCCCGTAGCCAGATACGAAGACCGTATCGCCAAAGCTTGCCCCGCTCCTCGGCAAATTCGAGCCTGGCTCCCCCGCTATTTTCTCTCCATAACGCGCTTCATTCCCCGCTCAATATACCAGCCGATCATTTGCAGTCCCTCCAGGGAACACAGCCGTACCACCAATCCATGTAATCTCCAAAATGGTCATGATTATATCATTCCGAGAGGATAATAAACAAATCGTCCGTAATCTTCCCTCCCTGCGGCTGTAGGGTGGCGTGGTTCCCGCCCGCCCGGCGTGACCGAGCCGCTACCGTGTCCCATGCAGCTAGCGCCGTGTTTCCTACGCATGTTTCCGTCAATTTAGCTCGTTTCCGTTATCACAGATAAGCTAACATTTTGAAAGGATGATCACCAAAGGAAAAGAGCAATCGCCATCATGATTACGCTTCCTGAATGACTGTAACTAATCGGTTATTACACCGAGCATCGGTAGCTGAGAGCTTGCAACAGGCACCGCGTGAACCACACGAGGGGGATATACCTAAATATTCGCACTAAAAAGCAGATTAGGAATATTTCTGCCACTAGATATTTCTTCCACATCCATTCCTTACATTTAGAGGCAATGAGAATAAGTGAGAACAACCGTACAGGTATGGTATAGTGCAACCCAGCCAAGCAATCAGGGGAATTCTAGTACCCAGATATGTTTGCATATTTTATGTGGTACAACTGAGGTTTCGAAAACAGGAGTATCAGTATCTTTAAACTCTAAAATCCCCACGGATAATCCGGATTATGCTTTCATCTGGTGTTTGTACAATAAGTTAAAGACTTATGCAGACGACATGTTCATAATTCAATCTTGTCGTCTGGTAGATATTTTGCAGACTGTTAGAAACAGCAGGTCTGGGCTTTTCGGCTACCTTCGCCAAATCATAGTCCGGTGAAAATGGTGAACGAAGTAGTGCTATGTGTTGCAATTGAATCAAGGTCCTTTTTGTTTTGTGCGTATTTAATACATTGCAAAACTGTATTCCAATGTAGAATTTGAGGATATACTCCGAGTACACAACACACATGTTATTTCAAATCAATGTACTGAATTATTAGGTGAATGGCTGGCACCTAGTAGTGAATATTATGATGAAATATATATCATAACAATTTTCAACCGAAATGATTTATAATTTTGATTTTAAAAAGACTGAAAATGCTTATACTTGATTGCCAGATGTCGATATTTGCAAGATGAAAATTTCATATTTTCCCGGATGCGATACAATCATTGCAATAATTCAATTAGTTTGCCGCTATCCATGTATTTAGCTGTCAGTCTTCTCTTGAAAATGATTTCATCGTAAAAATTGATGATATTTATGTTACCTATCAATATGAAAAAACTGTTGATCTGTATATGTTTGGATATTACATTTTTTGTTCCGTGTCGCTAGGACAACGCTCGGGATTCTAAAACACCTTCTAGTTTGAAAACATGTTCTAGTCCTATGTGTTGATGATAGCTGTTCTATCTTCTTATCTCTAGTTGAACATCTGCAGATTTTAAGTGTTGGTCGCGTGACATGTCTTGGCCGCTTTTGTTGCACTATTGTGGCGGTTCCATGTTACTATTGTGTACTTCTCTTGTCTGCCCTTTGTCAGCGGTATTGTGATACCGTAAAGCGGGGAGAATGAATGCGGGCGCCGGGTCTGTTAGCCACACGGTACCGAGCATAGCGAGCGGGCACGGCAAACTTGTCTCCCCTTATAACCCATCCTCCCGTCACTGTCACGATCTTATCCAGCGTAAACAATAGACAGGTATTTACAATGGGCTAGTATAAACATACCTGTACAGAATGAGAGATCCTGTGGTTGATATGGTTCAACAATAGGTTTTAGATAATGGAAACGCAAAAACTTACCGTTAGTTAAAATGACAAGCATATAGTCTATGTAAATAACGGTTACCGTTTGATTCACATTATAGATTTTCTTTATATTTTATCCAAATACTAACATCATGTTTTCTGTTATATCAAGCAAGCTGTTTCTGAAATCACAGTCCTACCGTAGAAGTAAATGATAGAAATAGAAGTATTTTGTTTTAGAATAATTTTTAGTGCTTTACCCGAGTGCATCAGCGTTGATTTGAACTACGTAGCTCCACAATACTAGAAGGCAGTTCCTTTGTCTATGAAATCTTAATTATCTAAGTACAGAGAACATCTGAAATTGCATGATATTATCGACCTTTCTCCTCTAATATCGCCTCCGTAATATTAACTGATTTTTAGTGCAAGTAATCCCGAAGCCATTATGTAAAATGTAATTTGTTGACTCTTTGAGAAAATTGAATGATACAGCCAGAGCAGGGACAATGAGATATACCGGCATTTTTTCATCAACAAGACACAAAAGAAAACTACTCTTGGTTAACGCGTATTCTTTATTTCTCTCAAAGAAATTTTCAACCTGTAAAATGGCAATTTCTTTCTGTTTATGACGGATATCAATAGCACTAAATATGCATCTACGTAGTGTTGATAGCCGGACAAAAATACAACGTTTAAAAATTGAACCATAAGAACGAAAGGCTTGAAATGGTCATATTTTTGATAGCAGAGCATGAATAATTTAGTAAATGGAGTTATCCGGAAATCTATAACATGTGGTCGCGTGTATGTGAATCATGTAGTACATACACACTACCGACTATAACAACACGCACATGCTACTTGCTACTTGTCCTAAAATGCAGTGATATATTTTCTCTACAAATGGTTCCGGAATGATCTACATGAAATGAAATAAATGAAGTGAAGAACTAAGAGGCTTTTTGAGTAGCTACGATTTCGTCAAATGCGGCATATTCTCCATTTGAGTAATTTCTCATGCGTGATACAACATTTACAAGGCCAAATATTTCATATAGTAACATTTAGCAACGAAAACCGCTCGGGCTCTTCAATAAGATCCTAATTGCAATACTTAAGCATTTACCAACATGGATGTTTTTTAGTTGATCGGCTCGTATATTTCCACAGCTCAATTATGTAATTAAAGATGCAGAATATGAAAAATAGTTGAAATAATATATAAAAATGTACTGAAGAAATTAGCTCGGAGATTTAAAGGCCCAAATAAAAAAAACATATAGTTCTTCATAGATATTCTCTCCTGTGATATACATTGTACATCATACTTTGACATTTTTTGCCCTCAGAAAGACGACTATCTCCCATGTGACGGTTGAGATTTTAAATTACTCTCCGGACCAACCACGTGCACCGACACATCAGCCTTGACAACGCGAACCAATGTGACATTGACAATGTTACATCCCAATTTTGGATTCCATCGCCAATGTCACACCTCAATGCCAGATGCACCCTGTTTAACGTTGCCTGTGAAATATTACGATAATACCAGCGACAGAGATACCCTAAACAAATATATTAATCATTTTTTGATTGACAAAGTATATATGAACAAGTAAGCTAGTGAGGGAGCCGTCGTTTAGAAATTTACAAAAGATTTTCCATTTTAACTTTAACGTTCTTTTAACAACAGTTGTCTTGGCGCGGTGTTACCTAAATATGTACAATCGTGCAACATTTTCATCGACGAATATCACAAACTAAATTGTAGTGATGCACGTACGTATAATGGAATTCAAACATCACAACAACGTCTTGTGGTAACACTTCGATGCTAGGATGGCATCAAACGTTATAGTATGGCAGTACGTAAAATGCTCATGGTTGTAAATGAACAACTTCATTCAACCTACCAGACTTTTGCAGCAAAAGTCGAGCCAAACAGAAGCCTATACTTTGACGTATTGTATTTGTGAATGGGACGAAAGTGGAAGCTAGAAACGGGTCCGAATTTGAAGGCAAAGTAATTCGTCGGACGAGTTTTGTTGCGTTTTTTTACCCCAAGGCAAGCCTTATGGGTATGAATAGAAAATGGACGGAAAAAGAGCAACACTCATGCATACATTTATATAAATGGGTTTTCTGTTAGATGGTATTGATATGATAGAAATATCTGCTCAAACAATGTATTTCTATTTGTCACAAAAGTATTCATAGCATGGCAGGGTACGTATGTTTACAGGGCGACTTTTGGTTCTGATTCATTCTGTTTTGACATGATTTCAGTTTTCGAATGTCTGACAAAGTCGTGATCTAGATCAGAACTGAGACCACGATAATCATGCCCAGTCTCTTACATATACTGGTGAAAACAAGAAACCGTTGATTTCTTAATCAATGGAGACATAAAAATATAAGCAAATTTCACACAAGTGCAACGTTACAAATAGTGTTTTTTTGTGGAAAAATGGACAATTATTTTAGGCAAACCGTGATGCTTTTTTGTGGGTCATCGTTGAAGGAAATATGTCGTGAACATGATGTAGCTCTGCCACAGTTTAAGTCCTGGTATAACGTATGTCATGTGGGCCGTAGGACGATGTGTAACATAATACCAGCGCACTGTCGAGTCCCATGCTGTACAGTTAGGTCTAAGAAAAAACTAAGAAAAATATGTTTTATCACTTGTTTTTAAAACCACGTGTAAGTGAGAATTCTTTAAGTCAAAATTTGCTATCTGCATTTTTCGGTCTGGAATTTTACTTGGTTTATCAGAGTCAAATATGCTTTCATCGACAAATTTGCGTCAGTTGAAGACGCAACATGTAGCAACGACAGTCGCACGCACGCAACTTGTTGTATCAGCGGAAGAACTCGTGTAAGATTTAGCTATATATAGTGACTCGTTTAGTAGGTCTAGAGACGAGCTGGGTTTTGATAAACTTATCATTGTCCTGATATGTGTGTGTAACGTTGACGTGGGGTTTGGTTCACTTCAACACCACGGTCTGATCTGTGCGTACTTGCATGAATCGTTTCTTGTTTACGTTTTTACCGGAGTGACGGCGGGACACTTACCTTTGTTTTCTGGGCCTGGACTGTTGTCTCCTGCCCCCAGACCCACGGGAAGCCCCGGGGACCCCACGGGGCAGAGATCGTCCCCGTCTACATCGGACTCAGCTCCCGAGTCCCCGTGCCTCTGGTCTATGTCCCCCTTCAAGTCCCCTAGAACTTCCTTGTACGTCCGCTCTTCGCGTATCTCCTCCGACCTTGTCCTTCCCGTCGAACGATTTGGACACAAACGCCGTCAACTCTTCCATGGTTCCTCGGGAGAGGGTCGCAGGTAGGCCCGACCGAAATTTCCGGTCTCCCCTGTCTCTAGTCAGGCTGGGAAACTTGTCTGCGGGGTCGAATCCTCCCGTCACTTGTTTCGTCACTCCTGGAAGTCTGACTTTCGTGGCGGCGGGGGAAAGTTTCACCGTCTGTGCCAGAGCAAGTCGCCGCCGCTGATCGGAAAGACTCTACTACGGGCCTGGTTCTGCTGGTTGCTCGGGAGAGGTGGCGTGTAGTTCCGAGAGAAAGCGGTGGACTGTACGGTCTGGCTCCGCCCAGGACGACGATCCCGCCCTTTATACAGCTCTGCTCTGAATGATTACAGCTCTGGCTCACGGCGTAATGAAATTACTCCATAATGGTGCTGATGTCACGACTGCCCCGCACCTCTCTGCACAGCCCGACCCCATTGGCTATTAATGCCCGATTGACAAGACCCGCTAATTAATAAATCAGCCCGAGTTACCCGCATGCCCATTACTTATCGCACCATCTGATAGACCCGGCTAACGCGGGTTCCCGGCCTGCACGGCAGCACAGAGGCTCCCGGTCGCCGCGAGGTTCGATTTTTGGCCCCGCCTGTCAGGGACCACGTGATCGGTCGTCCCTCGTGCCCAGGACAGGTCGCGCCGTGATAGCCTCCATCACTAGTCTCCACCAGACTCCTTTGCAGGCCGAATTAATAGTAAAAATCGGCCTAAAAAGGGGATATCATTGGCCAGAGGAGTTTGCCGGTCATAGAGGGTCCCATTTGCGTGCTTTCTAGTATTTATTCACCCTGCAAAGGAGTCTGATGGAGACTATCCGTCAGACTAAAACAACGCGCGCGGGTTCAAAAACTGTAAAAGTTCTACCAAACAGCAGAAACAACAGTAGAATGTTCCCGAATAGCGGGAGAATAATTGGTCAGGGGAGATTGGCGACCGTACAGGTCATTTGCCTCTTTGACTGAGTCTCCTGGCCAATCATTTTCCTTTTTTGCCGACTTGTTACCACCGTAGGAAGGCCCGGAGGCTGATGCTGTACTATACCAGGACTGTGTCATGCGCACTGTCATCAAGCGAAAAAAAATCGAGCCCCACACTTTAGTTCATGGCTTGGTACATGGTTCATTACACGTATACAGATCATAGAGCAATCGAACTTCTAAAGATACAGGCAATTTTTCGTATGTTCACAATGTTTTCCAGTATTAAGCCACGCACCATTTCAAGCTGTGTTGGAAGGACCAGGTGGTATCAAATATAACCACCCAGCAGTTTCTTTTTCAAATTTTCATTCTTTTCTTAACGATATATAAGGTTGATTCGCTGGATCAAGTATAGGATCATCATTGAAGTAAGCTCTATTTCGTTGGGTTAGTATTTTTATTTTTTCATAATCTTTTTACATTTTGTATCTGATTTTGAAAAGTTCGTTTTTTTTCTGCTGTGAAAAAGCTAGGCTGTTACTGTGTTAGTATTCTAGATAATTCTTTATAGAATGGCATAACAACAATAAAGGTGTCGTAAGTCTTGACCAGTTTTATTTGTTCAAATACCAAGAGTGCTGTTTTTTCTCAACATCTTTATGTATAAGCTCCGCTCCTAAACGCAATCGGAAATGACTACTTTGCTACATAACGTTTTTGCGGACACTTTCAGCAAAAGGGATAAAGCACACACGGGAGTGCTAACAGACTCAAGTATCTATCTCTCTGGCTATTTGTTTATACTTATAGCGATGGGGGCTCAACATGGAATGGCTTTTGATGAGTTTTTGAAAGGTACACCTAACCTTACTACTGGGAGGTGTTGAGTAAAATCGTCGTAAGGGAGCTAGGTGGGTTAGCTGGCGTCACCAGGGTCTATCCACTTAAGGACCGGGTTCTGGTCTATCTCTGGGCGCCGCCGTGCCGCGCAGGCGCGAGGTGATGACAGATGAGGCCGAGGGCAACTGGTGGATTAACGGGGGCAGTTCGCGCTTGCGCAGTGAAGGCGGCTGCGGCGTCACGGTAGCCAGGTTAGGGACCGTTAACGGTGCCCCTGGTGGCGTCTTTCTTGAACTTACCTTTAAAGGCACCCTGTGCAGTTTTTAGGGCTTGGAAACCTGATTTTTCAAAGTCAATATTCTAGTCACTTATCTACACACTGAGTTGAAAGCACACTATCCCAAATGTATATCGACATTCACGGAGCAAAAATTCCCAAAATTCTGACGGAAAATGGTTACTGGAAGGGCCCTGGGCTGATTTTTAGGGTACCACCCATAAAATAAAGGACTCATCTTGGGGCTTGTTTCTGCAGTTCTAAAAGCCCAAGGTATGAAATGCTGATGAAAATGTGCTAATATGAAGAGTATCTGTAAGCAATATCATTTGCCTTATTCAGAATATATCCAGTTTTGCTGCCCAGAGATTACATTGGATGCTATCTGGGAAGGTGTTTCAGTCGTTTTTGTACATTTGATATTGTGGCCAGTAAATCTTTATTCCTGCCACTTAAACACGTTTGTCAGATCTTTATCCTAGGTCATATATGCCTTTGACAGGCCAAGGATAAGCCATGATATGCATTTAGCTTGAATGAATCATATAATTCGAAATAGTCGTCGTTGATATAAACAAGTGTCGGATTATGTACATTACATGATACATAGTCTTCGGTATGGGTTTTTGGCTGTTTGGCCAGAAGCGACAATTTGACAAAATTTGATTGTTGTGCTTATATTGTAGGGCAACATTGTGTAAAAATTCGCTGGGGCCATTCTCATGTACTTTACACTTGTTGGAAATCACCAATACAAATGTCCAGCACAAATTGTTGAGAAACAAACAAAAAGTGAAGTGAGGACGTTCCTTTTCTCGTTGGTCACGCAGCATCTGTGGACTATTTTTGTCGTCAAAAGACTTTAGAAAATGATGAATGAAGGGTCTTAAGTACAATTACTCCGCTTGGGACAGATGTACATGTCATCCTACCGGGCCAATAGAGCAGCAAGGTTATCTTCGGTTGAATGCTACAATGATCAGTTTCTTAAACCCTTCTTTATAATCTCCAAGTAGATCTTATGGCTGCAAGACAGTACCAAAGTGGCAAGGCGGTATCATTGACAGGGCAACATCCAATGCCGGACTAAAATAATATCTGTACGAAAAATAAAACCCGTTAAAAACGCCTAAACACGTTAAAAGTAAGCCCAAGCATAAACCTCTGTTTTGCACTACCGACGATCGGACAACTGTCTGCGGGCATCCAGTTGAAACAGGGCCTGGCTACCAACAAAATTCCTGAACTCAAACTTCATACCAACTCGCATTCCGGATGAGTAGATTCACCAAGGAGCAACTAGCCACGTCTTGGAATGCCAGTTTTTGTCTTTACGGCTCTGCGAGGCCGACTATCAACTTAAGTGAACACCAGGGGCCCATGCTGACACGGTCTGGTCTCCCCCGTCTCCCCTACATTACTGCCCAATTAGAGAGAAACATTTCAATGCGCGCAGATTGGCGCTGACTCCGCCACTGTTGGCCCCATTGTTGCTCAGCCTACAAGTGTACTTTGACTCCCCGCATGGGC